CATAACTCTCTGGTCGCGAATAGGTTCCCCGTTGATTGAAGTATCCACTCTGATCACTGTATCCTCTGTTTGGATAGTACCCGTTTCCACGGCCGGACTCTACATGAGACCATGGCCGTTAGCATATATATCACAAAATGACAGTTCAAACGATAGCATATCGTCTTCAGAGACGATAGTTTAAAGGGCGTATTTACCTCCATAGTAGCTGCTACGTTTGTTGTGCTCTCCACCGTTAGGTGACTCTGTAGATACGCTTGTTAACAAGAAATGCATGACAGATAGAGATTCGAACTCACCTGTTCTCGCCCAGGAAACGGGTCTACTACTGTACGTCCCTTCAAAAGCAGCTTCAAAAGCTCGGATGGTCTCTAATGGACGTTCGAATCGTGGACGAGTGGGATTTGAAAGATCGGGATCAGCTTTAATCGCAAACACTGTCAGTGGAAAGTCGCAGAAATTGTACAAGCTCTCACTACGTACTGATAACCTGCCCAAATCGGTCTTTGTGCTGCATAGCTCTTAAAGAGCCCATGGTCGACTGTTCGAGGGCAACAGCCACTGATTTATCAGAAGGTCAGTTACTATGCGCATGCAGAGCTAACAGAAGGAAGAAGGGGAGGAGTGAAGTTTAGGTGTGGAGGCCAAATCGTGGACGATGTCGCAGAATATTGCGACCGAAAGAGAGTTAGATATGGGGCCAACATACTTGGTTGCGCTTCGTTCATAGCAAGCGTTGGATCGGCTTTGGTATGTAAACTGCGCCTGTGCTTCTCGTCCGAAGACTCCCTGAGAGAGATTTTATTGCTGGCAGCGTTGCTCGACCGGCGAGATTTATCGGACCTGCCACCGAAACTGAGACCACGACTGGGTCTGGGCGACGCGACCGGCTGGGAGGGGGCCATCTTTATTTTATGTCAAAGCCCTTTTTTTCTGCTCCAACTAAGTCACTTTAGCGGCCGATAAACAAGTTTGTCAACAGATAGCTCCACTGACGACAGGAGTAGCTCCGTCGTGATCTGCTGAACTATGGCAGGCTGGCGGCCGTAGTGGAGCGCAACAGGTGGACACTGCCAAGAATTGTATGAACGAACACGATTGCGCTGTGTTGCTTTGGATTGGTTCTATCAAACGCTCGGTAACTACCTAGATAGGAGTCTTGAATGCAGCGAACGGTGGACGGTGACGAACGAGTGGAAGCGGCACCTTGAGCCTTGAAACGCTTCCGCAGATTGCAGTGTCTATGCTGTGGAGAAGCTGGTACTATACAAGGCTGCAAAGAAGTCGCTGCTTGATCGAGTTTGAATCGACAGATATCTTCTTCTTACGTTGTTGGTATTGCCTTCAGCAGCAAGCAGGTCGGAAAAAGCAAAAGAAAGCACTTCCGAAAGTCGTCACTGCAGAATGGAAGCGAGAGTGTGTACGAGTATTTCGTAAATTCGCGCAAAGAGACCGTGCGAAACTTGCGAAGATGTATCGAGCGAGCACGATAAACCGGGAAGCGACTAGCAGCCAAAAGACAGCTGGATCGGCAGAAATAGATAGTTCAAGTGTTTTCCGAGATAATTGGATTTGCGGCGCAAAGATCGACAGTGATGGTGATGGAAGTCGTTAGACGTTAGTTGGGACGGACGGCAAAAGTGTCACAAGAATTAGGGTGCTCTCCAAACGAAGGTCAGTGAGAAGAAGTGCTAGAATAGTAATATTCAACTAGCTAGAGATGAAAGACAAGGCAGGCAGATAGGCCACAGTTATAGTGGTACGTAGGTAGTGATTGAGAAACAAAGAGTTTCGAAGTTGACGACAGACGCCACACAATATTATGAAGAGAGGGGAACCATAACCAAAAAATTAAATAGAAATAAAAACCCAAAGCAAGTGCTACTGTGCCATGCTGTGCTGCTTGACTGAACTGCCTCCCACGAGTCGGATGATGGCGCTATATTCTTGTTGAAGCCACCTGACTGCCGTGTATTCTGTCTATTCTGGTAGGTTAGTACCTTAGGATCTTGGTATCGACTACCTTTCTTGTAGACTACGCCACGTACTCTTCGTATGGAGAAAACAAGACAATATCTCAGTCAACAGCAATCCTTAGAGCCCTGAATCTGCCACTGTGCCCAAGTACGACAATGCATCTCTTTCCGTCTTGATAGAATTGCAAGACCCCGATCTAGGCAGCCGGGAATAAAAAGCAAGAAAATTCAGTGAAGGTAAAATACCGCTAGGCCCAAAAGTCAATTAAGTCAATCAGAATCCAAACGAAGTAATACGGCTACTCCAATATCCAAGACAAAAAGCGGCCCACAGGCTTCCCTCACTGGCTGGCGGCCGTTAGGCAAGAAACCAATGGAATCGGCTACCGGAGGGTTCCCCAGCCACGGTCAACGGGTCGTCTCGTTGGCCAGGAGAAGTCCAGGAACTGGGGCCATCCTGTTCTTTGAGTCAACAGTTCCTTGGGTGATCGAAAGCGAGAATCATGGATTCCCGTGCTTGAGAAAGCGGTTGTTTTAAAAATAGAGAGCATAGGAGCAATTGTAAATAGAAAAGAATTGTTTTTTTATCAATAGTTTGTTAGAAAGGAAAGAATATTCTTACTGATTGTTAATAGTGAAGGGTTTGGAATCCACTACTATATCATGATTACTTAATCATCGTGGACAGGTTATTTTTATTTTTAGGTTAACTCTAAAACTGATTAGCTTTAAACAGGTTTCTTTGTGCTTTGCTCTCAGAGTACGGATACAGCAGCCGATTGTTACATGATTATTATCTGCCCCTTAGAAGGGTACCTAGGTAAGAACCTAGGCATATCTAGCTGCGGAAAAGCCCAGTCAAACCCTGTTCAAAGCAAACAATAAGCTGAATCTTTTGAATCCATCTGTATCCGCGGCCCTCCCATTGGTTCTCTCCCATGCCAACAGCTAGGCGACTTCGAGGATACAACCAGATAATCTCGTTCGAGGCCATGACAGGGCGGGGTTATGTTACCTTATGCTACACTGCACAAACTACAAAGTACTACGTATGCAGTCCTTACCTATTTACTGCCGCGTGAAGTGAGCATTAGACAGCATCATAGCTCAGACATTACTAGTAAATACAACCTGAACTTTTGTGGTCGATATTAGTTGAGTCAAAAGAGAAGCCACTCTCATCCCTTTCTCTAACAAGATCCCTATCATACACAGAAGCTTCAACACTGCTTTGAATGGGGATCTGAGGCTCGTAGGTCGTCACGACGCACCAGTTGGTGAGGATCTTCAGTATGATCTGGTGGGTCTCTGTGGTGCGGGATGGCGCATTACTTTAATTATCACTCCACAGAGACCCCAAACGAACAAGCATTATGATGATTTTGGCTCGTGCTCGTCTCAGATCTGCTGAGGCAAGGGGTTCAGAACCCCGCTAACATTGACTTTTTGGCTCTGCGTTCCGATATCACATTCGCTTGGCCGATGACATATTTGTATTCAGGAAGATAATTCCTGTACAGATATTGGCACTGAAAGGATGCAAGGTAGAAAAAGCTGATGGATAGTTTGCAGTGGGCAAGAGCAGATTGCTTAGATATATGTACCTCACTTCCTATGTCTGAACTGGTGCGAGTAAACTCGATTCCCTTTGAGATCAGTTCTACCTAGTATATGGAAATACAAGTGCTTTTCAATTGATCGACACTTGAACCCTCGTTCAGAAAATCCAGTCATCCTTAATCCGATTTCAGCAATCTGCATGACAAGCCATGACTTGAAATCGACTCGAGCATTCCAAGTACATCACGAGACCGGATACGGGTCATAAAAATTGTAGACCAACAGATCGCAGGAATATCTGCTGTGTCAGAAGAAGCATCATATTACTCACTCCATTACCAAGTCAGAGCGCCGATTCCACAAACTAGTCGGGAGTGACTGTTTCCCTGAATACATTTTGACTTGACTGCAGGCAAAGCTGTGGTACTTTGTACATAGTTCTCGGGCCTGCATGTTGTGTACCACGTCGAGCATAGTCCTACCTGCCTGGCCTTTACCTCGATAGCTAGCAAGCCAACATCAATGAGATGATCTATGTCTCGTACTGGACGGATTGAGACGCTGTGGACATGATACAATATGTAGGGATAACACCAGGCTAAATATATCGAGTTTTGCGGCCTGTCAACGAGGCTGTGACTGTCAAGGCTTCGATCGGAGTATGGCATCAGGTTCCTATACATGTATGATTTTACAGTTGGGAGAGAGGTCATGACTACTCATTCTTAATACACCTGCCATAGACTACTTGGTCCGGCTACGGGGCGTGCGTGACCTATTGTTCTATCTGGTTACTGCCATGGAATCACATCCGGTGAATCATTAGCTGTAACTATTGGGCATAAAGCAGCCGCAACCTCTGGGAAGCTCAAGCATAACTGTACGAGGACGCTTCTAAAATGAGCCTGGCAGATGCAGTCGTGTCAGAGAAGGATTTTAGAAGACCGATTTGGACTTGCAAGGGCCACGATGCGTCGCGTGTTGGGAGACTATACGAGGTCATCAAAGTCGAGTTCCTGGCGTGGATAGCAGAGCGACGAAGCGAATAAGGCCCCTGATCCAATTATCCCAGACCCATCCGTCATTCCGCTACCATACGCCCGATCCTAATGCAACGCGATCTTTGTTGAAATGTGTGGATTTGGTTGTTTATGAGTGTTAGATACACTGGAAAGAAGCCATGTTGTCAGACAAGGCACGTCATGCTCGCCAATGTAGAAAACACGACAAGCCCTTCTAGAGGCCTGGAGGCCGACAATGTCACCACGCTGGTAGAGTCTGAAGAAAACAACAAAAGTTCTTTTGATTTTAATTCGTAGGGCTGGTCGGCCCTGCCTCTCCCACGAACATTATCAACCCGCCAACTCCATCATCTCAACATCGGCTCATACCGTCGACTCCTTGCCCGACTGTCTGCGCGAAGTTTCCGGATTGCCCAGCTAACAGGTAATAAACATGGGTCATTTAGATGTTGGAGGGGTAGAGCATGACGCGGACGGTAGCACCGAAGGACTTGGGGGGGAGGTTGTGGCGGAACTGAGCACGGACAACGCCGGAGTTGCCTGTAAAGTTGATATCGTCAGTTGTTGTTCCTCCTAGCAGCCATCCATCGTCCAACAGGGCTGCGATGCCAATATCACCGATCCATCGCCATTGAAATCACGTACCGTGTGGCCGTGTAACCTTGCCCCAGATGACCCGGATGTTGGAACCCCGAACCTCACGCTTTGCCCGGTAAACGAAAGCGACCTTCTTGCCGAGGTAGAAGCTGTAAAACAACCGTCTTAGCTGCATGTTCTCTTCTTAAGTCGTGACCCTTTCGACCAGTGTATACTCACTTTGCGGCCTCAGTGTTGTCAACACCGTCGATCTTGATCAGACTATACACGGTGTCAGCCTCCCATATCCCTTGACGTCCAGCTTCACAGTGGATAGCTACCTGGTGTTGGGGTTGACCGCGCGCTTGGAGCGCTGGTAGCTCAGGTGGCGACCCCTGCATAAAGAATTCGTATTAACCCATCTGTCCGTATGATTTCCTTTCGACTTGGCCCCCTAGCCCGATCCCACAGTGCGACATTTGACATTTGTATATATCGCATTCCGAATGATCGCGACCCGACGGAGAATCGATGAGAAGATCGTGGTAACTTACTTGACGTAGACTGTGCAAGTAGAAATATCCCGTTAGCATGATCCTTTATTAATTTCATAATCGCACCGCATCCATCCCCGAAGCCCATTTCTCCAACCTGTGCGCACACATCGATATCAAGCTAAACGGAGAGGGATCACTCACGTCTGTGACCTTGTTCCGAAGGCATTATGACGGTTTATCTGAGCAACAGCGGGCAACGCAAACAAGTCGAAGGAAGGCAAAGATGACCCGCAAAAAGTCGTCCGGGTTGTCGTGATTGTCGTCGCTTCGATAGTCTGAGACGAGCAGCCGACCGCACAATGATCAATTTGCAAGGTGCGTTCGGGGCGGCTCGCCCTAACCCCAAACGGGATCTTAGCGAGCTGAACCGCCCAGGGTTAAGCGAAGTCCCGTGATGGAGAATCTGAAAAAAGGCCTAAGCCGTTTTGGGAAAACTACCGGAATATTGAATTCTCCGGTCTCCGAGATAAGCTGATAAAAACATGATAACAATCTCCCCGCCAAGAGATGAGACTCTTGAGCCAGGGCAACCCCACTGCTTCCATAAATTCATTCGACAGTATTTTGCCGTCGGGCTACAGTGGTCCGAGGACGGTTCGACGGCTTCCCATACCATTGGACATCGGGTATGTCTCTGACTCTGCTTTTCCCCTGCTTCTCCGGTGGACGTGAGCATTTGTCTAGAGCGTCGAATGCTGACAAACGATGCTTATTTTGCTTCCCCCTCTGGAAAAGGTAGTGACGCAAGGGTTTCGTTTGGCGATAAGCTCAATCAGTGAGATATCTTTTATTGATACCATTTTCACTTCCGCGGAGTTCAGTTGAACTCTATCAGAGAGAATCTGGTCCGTTTTATGATTATTCCCATTGTTATTGCGATCATTGCCTTCGTGCTGTAGGGCTACAACAGTGTATATAGGCAGAAATTTGTTGATACCTGATGATACTACTCCTAGGGTCCTCCTGACAAAGCCGCGTGTACTCCGAACGGTCCAGCAGACCGAGAGCACATATTTGGAAATAAAGCGAGTCCGCTGCCCCACTAGCAAGGAAATCGGCAATAGACCTGACATTTGCTGGTTTATCAGCAATCGTTGAGAAGAAGGGACTCTCGTGTCTGTTGATGAGCACGCAATCGTCGAATCGAAGCTGAAAGTCAGCTTATACTTTCTTCTCTCAACCCTCTTCAGAGTTCTCATAGTGTGGATAATAATAATAATAATAACTACCGATGTGCTTTGCAGATCTGAATTCAAAGGCAGTTGTCTGATATCTCCAGCTTACGGAGTTGCGCCAGTTAACCCCGAGCCCTCGTAAGCTATTCCATCATCTTCATATGGTTCAGCAAAGAAAGTCCGGGCGATGTTCGTACTCCGTACCTCTCCTAAACTTCTTTGCTCACGGGAAATTAGAATCCGTAGTGATCAGGTACTACCGACGGTTCCATGACAAAGTCGCCGATCCATCTCCACGGTTTAGGTCACCGGGAGAGCTTCTTCTGGCTTTCCTCCGTAGCCTGCAAACTACAAGACTAGGGCCTCTAGCTCCCAGTTTCCACTGCACCTAGCTCTGGCACAATCTTTGCGACCCAGCCAGTAGATAGTGGAGTCCGAAGTCGCTACTCGCTGCAGTACTGGTATGCATCATGGGCTGCATGATAGTCTTAGGTAGGAAGAAGGAATTGAAAGCCATGTTTCTCGAAGTATTTGTTCCTCACAAGGTTTACGCTACTGCAATTTAACGCCAGATCTATCCTAAATGGTCCTTTCCAGGATGTACCTTTATGTAGAGAACACAGACACCGGCTAATACATAGCCATCGACGCAAACCTCAATTGAGATCTGATGATCATGAACCTGAAGCTTACACGATCAGGAGGGAAGACTCCGCCTCTATGAGGTACTAGCTACTCGAGCATGCAGCACCGAACTAGGTGGTCTACTATAAAAGCCGCGAGGGACATCACGCAGGAGTCAGAAGTTTGACCTTGTAAACCTTTCCCCTCATCGAAGGCGCAAACAGTGTGATGCGGCCAGGTTGGTTTACGCGGGGTCAGCAAGTCAGCATCAAATCAGTTCGTATCTTTAAATGAAAATCATCCGCTGGGTCACAGTGGAGCTGACTGTGTTAGAAGTCCCATCTGTACGTCTTGGTTAATTAGCTCGGATAAAACTGGAAGTTTGATTAGATGATCCAATTCGTAAGGGGATCACATCCATAAGCCTTGATGATATAAGAAGGGGAAAGAGTTTGCCACGGAGGATGTAGATAATAGTGAAAGCGATGACATTCGTCTCTATCTATCGATGCTGCCCTGTATGCCTACACCAGAGCATGACCTGACCTCTGCTAGGCGCTGTAGCATAACAATTAGGCTATCTAATAATAATCAGTAATCATATATTAATGCTCCTCCCTGTAATCCCATTCGACTATCCCCAATACTACCTCCCATAATACACACGGAGTCGGGCGGCAGCATCGAGGTAGTGGAAGAAACCAAGCCAGCCCCCCACCTTGCATTACTGCAGCAGTCAGCTTGAGAGCCCTCCGAGTTAATAAAAAGTACCTGCTCCGCCGGAATTGTTGGGTATTTTTACAACAATCCCTCTTCATTTCCTCTCTCTTCTCGTCTTTTATATCTCGCTCCTAAAATCACATCCCTCCCAAAGATTGAAGTGTCAATTTTAAACATTTCTTGCGAAGATGGCCAGCACAATAGCCCGAACTGAGGAACACCAGAATGCTGGGTACGTCTCTCCCATAGTTCTGCCTCTCTGACATCACACCCCCCCTCCAACGGCGGAAACACTCCCGTTACCTCACCCTACAGTACCACCGCTTGCGACTGCTCCGTACTGGTCACCGATGTGCAACCTGTCAGCTACCTTTGACCAGCATCTTATTTACCCTTGTCTTTTAGCTCAATTCAATTCAACCTCGCTCCTGCTGCAACTTACAGAGTTGACTATTTGTCCATTACTGCCTTTGTTTTGCTCTCTATCCATTTTTACCCTCTGTTTTCTCTTTCACCCCTGCGTTCATCAAGTCACAAACCGAACCCTGATCGACCTAGACAAATATTTCTTGCCCCGAATAATACCAATACAAATCAGTTGCTAACATGGATTATGCGCTCAGCACACTTGAACTTAAAGATGACACCGTCATCGTAGTACTAGGTGCCTCGGGAGATCTTGCTAAGAAGAAGACGGTTCGTTGTCCCAGGACCGGATATTACTCTCTAGACAGCTGTTTTAAGCTAACGTCTCAATAGTTCCCTGCTCTTTTCGGACTCGTACGTGCCACCTCTATTGACGAGGGTCTAAACTCACCTAGATTGACCGTATGCACAGTTCCGCAACAAGTTCCTTCCCAAGGATATCAAGATCGTCGGATATGCTCGGACAAAGATGGACCACGAAGAATTCCTGAAGCGTGTGCGATCATACATCAAGGTTCCCACCAAAGAAATCGAGGAGCAGCTGGACAGCTTCTGCAGTCTCTGCACCTACGTCTCCGGTCAATATGACCAGGACGATTCTTTTATCAACCTGAGACACCACCTCGAGGAGGTTGAGAAGGGCCACAAGGAGCAAAACAGAGTCTTCTACATGGCGCTGCCTCCCAGCGTCTTCACCACTGTGTCAGAGCAACTAAAGAGGAACTGCTATCCCAAGAACGGCATTGCTCGCATCATCGTGAGTTCCCACCCCGATCCGAAGAGGAGAGCAAAAACTGATAGGCATGTTTTCGTCATATAAAGGTTGAGAAGCCCTTCGGTAAAGACCTTCAGAGCTCTCGTGACCTCCAGAAAGCCCTTGACCCCATTTGGAAGGAAGAGGAGATCTTCCGGATTGACCACTATCTGGGTAAGGAGATGGTCAAGAACATCCTTATCATGCGCTTCGGCAACGAATTCTTCAACGCCACTTGGAACCGTCACCACATCGACAATGTACAGGTATGGGATACTTGGAATACTCCAAATACTCCAACTTACTGACAGGTTCACTCCTACCGCAGATCACATTTAAGGAGCCTTTCGGTACAGAGGGTCGTGGTGGTTATTTCGATGAATTCGGCATTATCCGTGATGTCATGCAAAACCGTATGTTTTTGCCATCTGCTTGCGTGAATGAGCGATGCTGATGTTCGTCTCTTCAGACTTGCTGCAGGTCCTGACATTGCTCGCCATGGAACGTCCCATCTCCTTCTCCTCTGAAGATATCCGTGACGAGAAGGTAGGCCACTCAGCTATTTGACCAGAGGCGACGAGCGAAACTAATTCACTGCAGGTTCGTGTCTTACGTGCTATGGATCCCATCGAACCCAAGAACGTCATCATCGGCCAATATGGGAAGTCTCTGGATGGAAGCAAGCCAGCGTACAAGGAGGACGACACTGTCCCTAAGGATTCTCGGTGCCCGACATTCTGCGCCATGGTTGCATACATCAAGAATGAGAGGTGGGATGGTGTTCCCTTCATTATGAAGGCTGGAAAGGGTAAGCATAGTTTACTTTTCAGACCACTAGAGTCGCGCGCATACTCACCTTTCACACAGCCCTGAATGAGCAGAAGACCGAGATCCGTATTCAATTCCGCGATGTCACATCTGGTATTTTCAAGGATATCCCTCGTAACGAGTTGGTTATCCGAGTGCAGCCCAATGAGTCGGTGTACATCAAGATGAACTCCAAGCTGCCTGGCTTGTCCATGCAGACCGTCATGACTGAGCTAGATCTCACCTATCGCCGCCGTTTCTCTGATTTGAAGATTCCCGAAGCCTACGAATCGCTCATTCTGGACGCTCTGAAGGGTGACCACTCTAACTTTGTGCGTGACGATGAACTCGACGCGAGCTGGAAGATTTTCACGCCTCTCCTGCACTACCTTGACGACAACAAGGAGATCATCCCCATGGAATACCCCTACGGTATGCACTATAATATATTCTTCTGATTGATATCATTACTAATCCTGTCAAAGGCTCTCGAGGACCCGCTGTTCTTGATGACTTCACTGCTTCGTTCGGCTACAAATTCAGTGATGCTGCTGGTTACCAGTGGCCCATGACCAGCACTACCCCCAACCGTTTGTAGAGGGATGGGATATTGCATGACTATGAAATAAGAAAAGCATTAATGTACGAATTTCCGTTGAT